GAGAGAGAGAGAGAGAGAGAGAGAGAGAGAGAGAAGTGTTTCAAATCACGACCGTCTAACATTACGCTAATTAAGGACCTTATTCAGTGAAGATGACATATCTTCCCTTCGTGTAATTGGAGCAAGATGTATTTAAGTGATGGAACCTATCATCTTCTCACCGTTCACGAGACCCGATCGAGCTGATGATAATTGATGCACACTTAATAACGAACGATCCGCGCAAAGTAATTAAGAGCATGCACGCAAATTTATCAAGATCCTCCTCCCCCCCTCCCCACCCCCTGGAACATGCTATTAACGTCAAAACGTCCCGGCTTGAGATATGTAAACTCGTCGTTAACGATTGGGTGGGAAACGAGTGGCCGAAGCCATCTTTAGATTGAATTACGTTCGATCCGGATTATTTCGATCGGATCACATCGGACTGGTATTGGTGTGAAAAATTACTAAGGAACTAGATTTATAAGATGCGTGTATCAAAAACCTAACCCAATCAGACTGCAAACGTTTAGTTATTTATGGATCATTTGATATAAAAATTTATGGAACGTGCATAATTAATATAACACGTACAAAATTATAATATTCCGAATGTGGAACAAACAAGTTTTATCTAAATTAAAATTTGCATTAAATATTCACAGATGATTGATAATTATAAATATTTAAGGTTTTGTTTTTTAAAACGTTCATTATTAAAATTTCCCATAAATGTTTATCGTTATACTTCTTGAAAATTGAAATCAATCATAGGATGTTATCGATAAGAGATAAAAAAGTTACCGAAGAATTCGAGAAGGATAAAAAGATCGCGAACAGAGAAGTGTTCTGGTTGCATGGAAACCTCGAAGGAGAACAGATAATCGATGAGGGGGACCAAGTGTCCTGACCATAGCGAGGAATTGACAGACAAGGCGCTATCTTAAAGGGAATACCTAAAGGGAGATCGTGGCTCTCCCGCCTCTGCCGAGAAGTCGAGCAATAAATTCGCGGATACGTCGCCGACAGAAGGATCTGATAGCGGCGAAACTTGCCCGTGCGCAAAACCCTTCTTTTCGCCCATACCGAATATGGAAACGCACGACCCTTCGCTGAAACGATTCGAATATCCGTGCATCTTGCGCCAAGAATTCGATTAAATCGTGGAACAACCGTGGAAAAATCAATTTTCAAGTATAATATCGATTTCTTTTGTTTCTATATCATCTGTTACAATTCTGAATTGTTTAACTCTTTAGTTTTTATTGTTGCAATGTTACAACAATCGAAAATATTTCAAATTTATCTCTGAGTATAATATTGAATGTATTTTTTTCATACAAAGATTTTTGTTATAAAGAGTTATTATTTTTTTTTCAGCTTTCTTTTCATGTACATTTAAATCGAAGTAATTATTATAAGAAAAATTTGAGGAAAACTTGTGTCTTCATCGATTTCGATAATTTTTAAATATATTGTAAAAAATCGAATGACTTTTTTCTTTACATGTGATAGACTATCAATCTTAGTTTCCGAGATATTCGCAAATAATTAGATATTTATTTTATATTTTATTAATTAAAGTTCTTTAAAGTTCTTTCTTAAGCGTTTTAATAATTAATAAATTTTGCAGTATAAATATAAAGAGAGAATAAATAGTGGAGGATGGGAATAGAGTAAAAATTGTGAAATCAGCGCCACCTTTAGAATGTTTAAATGAAACATATGAGACAAAGAAAACAAATAATAAGAGAAAGATAAAGATAAATCAAAAACATCTTTCTAAAAATACTCAAGAGATGGCGATAATATTTAATTCTTATTCTATTTTATCCTAGTTTCGAAAAGATATCTTGTATAGTTACGAGATGGCGCTAGTGATCAATTTTATTTTCTCTTATTACTCACTCTACTTATCTATATTTGAATTTTATTTATGAAATTTTTATTTTTCAAATTATTAGAAATTTATTAGAAATGACATTGATTTCATAATTTTTAATCTATCTCTTATTTACGCTTCTTATACGATCTATGCTTGCTCTTTGCACATGATTATAAAGTACATGTCAATTGAACGCATTTTCATCATTTCATTTTTTAAAACTTTAATCTTTATCTGCTTTACTATTTTAATTTTTAATGTAACAAAAATATAAATATTATATTCTCAATTTTATATTATACGATAAAACATACTACATATATCATTATATTATATTATATTATGATAAATAACATATTTTGACATGAATCCGCTTAGTATGAGTGATGAAATTTGAAATGAGTGAGAAATAAACGAAAACTTAACGATAAAATTTTGAACTATTCTATCAAATTTTCTATCAAAAATTTGTTTCAAATTGTATCAAATTTATTTGTTCGTTATTCAATTAATAACATAACATTTTCAAAAAAAAAATTATTATTATATTATTGCTTACCTTTAAATTAAGTTGCTCCATAATTGCCAATTTATTTCCATTGTTATTTTTCAAATAACTCACAATTAACAAAGAATGATATTTAAAACGTAATTTCAAATGGATACTTGTTCGTTAACTTGCCGCTATAAAGGTTCATAAATGTATAATTTTATGACATATATTCTGAAACTACTGCAGCGCACTCTTATTGTAGAATGAATCAAAGTTCTTCTTTGATCTGAACACATATTTTCGTATTTTTATATTAAATATTGGAATGAATTTATATTTGCAATTAAATTAATGTTATGCTATATTTAAATTAAAATTAAAACATATTTATATATTTTATTATATGTATTTTAAAGTTGTATAAAAATATGCATAAAGAGAATTTAATTACACATTCATGATAAATATTTATTCATAAAAGAATTTTTATTTTAGAAAAATCTTTAAAATTCAAATTGTATTTTATATTTCAATTTATATTCAATTTATTTCATGACTTTTTAATATGATTTTATGAACACTGATATAGTATCATATATGATTATCTCGTATAGTAGATGGCGCTTTCTCAAATTAATCTAGTGTATAGAACAAATTAATTTATATATTATATGCAATTGCTGACACATTTCATAAAATAATATATCCACCAAGGTAATCCACGATAAACATAGAAAAAATTTTTTACAATGGAAAAACATATAAAACCATTAACAGATAACAATGTAGATTCTCAATTCATGGCTATAATAGCTGCAGTAATCGTGATTATTATAACTATAGGTAATTAAATGCAATATACATAGGTTATAAATTTCTTATATTTTATATATGTTAATTTCTAATTATCATGTATTAAAAATTAAACCAAACTTAATAATAATTTACACGGATGATAAATTTTGTGATTTTTATTATTACATTATTTAAAACAACATTGCAGTTCTCTTTCATGTAGCAAATAAAATTAAAAATATATTCACTTAAAAACTTTTCATATAAATTATTGTAAATTATATATACAACATGAAATTTACATCATTATTAGAGTAATAATAGAATGTTTTTTTTTTTTTGAAGCGTACATATATTCAATTTTTTTTATATTTTTTACTAATATTTATAAATAATATTCACAGTCTCATAGTTTCAGTTGTAACATTCTATAAATACCACATTTATTTTTTTAAAAAAAATGTATATCATTATAGCCACAGTAATTAATAAACATTATAAATATAGCTGCAAGTAATGAAACAAACATAATATTATAGTTGTATACATAATATAAAAATAGGTACATTTTTGTGTAAAAATTTTTTAGGTTTTTATCCTAATATTTATAAAATTAAGTTTGTAAAGCCATTTATTTGGTAGTAATAGCTCAATTTTAAACATTACTACCTTTTTTATAAATTTCTGTTCATTTTTTTTACATAGTATTATTTGCCATATGGCATAAAAGAAGATCTATAGGAAATAGTATATTGTTAACTGGTCTTAGTGATGCTGGTAAAACATTGATATATGCACATCTACTTTGTTCCAAATTTGTTAAAACACATACATCTGTAAAAGAAAATATAGGAGACATCATAATCAATAATGTAAGTTTATAGTAATATATTTTTATTAGTTCTTATAAAATAAATCTTGACATACCAAAAACATAGGTTTCTAAAGTTGTTGGTGTATTTAGCGTTCTCTGAAAATTGTTGATATACCTGGACATGAACGTCTGCGTTATAAATTTTTTGATCAATTCAAATTATCCGCAAAAGGACTTGTCTATGTGATTGATTCAGTAACTTTCCAAAAAGATATTCGAGATGTAGCAGAGTAAGTACATACAAGAGGTAAATCATCACATCCTGCAATATTAATAATAAATAATCTTTCACTTTTAGATATTTATATAATTTACTTTCCGATTCTGTTATACAAAAAAAACCTGTACTAATATTATGTAATAAACAAGATCAAACTATGGCAAAAGGTTCAGTTGTTATAAAGACTTTATTAGAGAAAGAAATGAATTTATTACGTATGACAAAAACAAGTCAGCTAGAAGCTACAGATGCATCAGCCACAAATATTTTTCTTGGCAAGCAGGAGAAAGATTTTGACTTTTCCCATCTAGATATAAATATTGAATTTGGAGAATGTAGTGCATATAACAAGGATTCTGAAACTTCTGCAGATATGGAGCAACTAAACAATTGGTTAAAAAAAATTATATAAAAATGTTAAAATGTCTTTTCATTTTTCCAAATAAATTATTTGTTTGTAACTTTTTAAATTGTTTTTTATAATTGTTTAATTTATAATTTACATAATTAACTTTCATATATTTTTTTAATAACAAAATTTATTATTTTTCAATTTTATCATTTGACAATACAATTCTCAACATTTACACATTAAAAATAATTGTCTTACATCAAATTTATGTTACATATAATTAAATTTTGTAGCTTTTATTTAATATAACTTAAAATCTATTATAATTTTATTCTAACCTAACGATGTTTTCTACTTGAGCAAGTATAGCATAAAATTTGTTCATATTTCTCATATACTTTAAAACAAGTATTAAAATTTTAAAATATTTTTGCTTACGTCTAATATTAAACATAAATGATACAAATAGTAGAATTTTTCTTTCACTTTAAAAACATTGTTCCGACGATCAGATAATCGATGCAACTGCACGAAATGTAAATGCTTAGTTAATATAGATAGCAAATGGCGTTTTATTTAATATTTTATTAAATATTTTTTTCTTTTTTCCATTAAATAAATAATTGTTATTATTAACAACTAACAAAAAAATAAAGAAGATTAAATTTTGCGCGAGATATATCGAAATATCATTTTTCAAATATTTCAATATATATATATTATTATATGTATTGTATTTATTATATATACATAATTAATTATAAAAAATATTTTTTTTTACATATATATAATAACAATTAAAAAATAGTTAAAAAATATATAAATTCTTCTGTTTTCAAATGATATACGAATATAAATATAATATTCTATAATTACTTATATTAACTATATATTATCGTTATAATAATTATTTAATTTAATTTG